GATAGGTGGGAGGAAGAACAGGTTAGGGAGGCAGGGACGAGCTGGACTGGTTTTGGGATGCGGTGGGGGGAGGGGAGATTTTAAAACTTGTGAAATCCACATTGATACCATTGGGCTGCAGGGTTCCCAAGCGGAATATGAGTTGTGAGTTCCTCTTAGACATTTCTTTTTACATCTTACCAGATAATTATCTCCATGCTTGGATTTCAGCATTCGTGTTACATCCTGTAGATTATGAAAATAGGTTTCTTCTGAACAGCCAGCAGGGAAAGACACAGCAATGATGCGTTCAGTAATGTAAGTCAGATCAAGTTCATAACCCTCCTCCATAATGTGACCTGATTCCACACTCCTGTATGTAGAAAAGAAAGAGAAAGAATGTAACTCTTTATCGAAAACTTAAAGGCTAGTCCTTTTCTGACTTCAATACACAAGAACAGCTTTTTTTTTCTAGCTTGCAGAAACAGAAGAGAGAGGAAAGGTGGAGTAGCTGTATATATGTAGCAATTGAGGAAGTTTAATATCAGTGAGATAAGCATAAATATAAATAATCTGACTTGACTTAACAATTGTCGCTTAATGGCATATATACATGTATATGTACTCTATCAATTGTGATGTCAACTCATTCAACATCAATTGGAATAAATAAAATGCAGTACTTCTGAAGCTGTCCTGGGTCAAATCTCACCAAAAATGTTTTAAAGTTACTCATGCAGTGAAATGTATTGAATAATCCAGGAGAATCTTGATAGCATGAACAGCAGGTTACCGAGTTTCTGGAGAACAGGATGATTGCAGAGCTGAATGAACATGGGTAGCAAAGCATTGAATTCAAAGGGGACAGAGTGTGCCAGTCAGGAGAAACTTCTAAATTAGGATATTCAGACACGTTATCAGAAATAGTGTAGACTCCGGCTCATCTTGAACACTCTGCACTTCAACTGCAGGAGGTCCTGTCCCCTCAAGCAATTGGAGATACCATAATTCAGTGGATGTGCGGGAAAAGAATCAAAACTACTGATTGTGATTTAGCTTTTTGATTCAGTTGGTTCAGATTGCTGTTAAGAATAATTCATATCCAGACTTGCATTTTAAATAATTGAATCATATCTACAAATAAAAAGTACTGAAATTATGTAACCTGACCAAATATATTAAATGTCAAGTTATCTAGCAATAATCACCAGGACAAAAAGTACAAATTGAAAAAGTCAAACTTTAAAGCTACAAGACAAAATTACTGGAGATTTTAATAAAGAATATATAAAGATAACTAATATATTTTTTAAAAAATGTTTTGCTGAAAAAATATCAAAATTTTAAATCCAATATTCATGCAAACTATAAAGTCTCCAACTGCATGAAAAGGGCACTTAAAAAGACCATGAATGACGAATATGCAAAATTCGCTGAGAAAAAGAGAAAAATAAAGGAATTTACCGAACAGACATAAAGTGATTCTGGGATATTTAACAATAAAATTAATTTGGGATAAACAAAAAGGTTGTGAATCAAATATAGTCAATGTAGATTATTACTTCCATACACAGTTCAACGTGAATGATTAATGGTGACAGGTTACAATCACAAGATGATCCAGGTGATCACTGAAGAAGACCATTCAGTCTATCATGGTCAATATATTCAGAAGCACGTCATGCTCCTTCCTCCACAGCACTGAGTTGTCACTTAAATGATTCTTGGCTTTTTACCTCAACTATTCTGCCTGGAAATCCATTCTATGCATTGATAACACTGTACAAAGAAGCAATCAGTCAGAATTTTGGTCTGCTGGATTCAACCTGTGTACCTCACCTTACTTTTATGTGACTTGCAAAAGTACGAGAAGTAATTTTCCAAATTTATCTTCTCCATTTTTTGGTCACTTTCCTGATGCCTTCCTTCAAGGTTTATAAGTCTAAGTTTCTGAAGTCTGTCCTATCAATGCATAACACTAAAACCTTGATATTGGCTGATAACTGTTTGGGAGGAAGGAGACAGACAGCAGTGACAACGGGCATGTATTTGAACCGTAAGCATGGGAAAAAGTAATATTCCCAAGGGATCCATACCGTTTCTCACTAAAGGTAAGCAATCATTTGAATGAAGCAAGATTGAAGTCTAACTAAGTTTAAAAGTGACATTAACACAGAAATTGTGAAAAAATAGGCAGAGAGTTACAAAGGGACATACAAATAGGTCTAGTGAGTGAGAACAACCACAATGGATGAAAGTTCAATATCTGCAAATGTGAAGGTATTCACTTCAGTCTAAGAAAAGCAAATCAGAATATTTTCTTTCCAAGAAGAACTATGAAAGAACACAGGTTTCAGTGCATGAATCAACAAAAACAAATACACTAGTATAAAAAGTCTTCAAGACGGCTAATGGAATATTGGTCTTTATCACAAGGGAATTGAAATACAAAAGAGGAGGAAGTTATCCTGAAGGTGCATAGAGTTTTAACCTGATTATATCAGAGTTCTGCTTTCAGTGTTAAAGTTTGAATTTCTTAAGGATATATTTGGTCTTGAAGGGAGTACAGCAGAAGTTGAGTAAAAAGATACCTGGCTAAAAAGGTTTGATTACAATATCACGCTGTGCTATCAAGTAGCACTTGCTTATCAACAGCCTGCTCACTGATGCTCTGTTGGGTTCCATCAGGGCCACTCAGCTCCTGACTGCATTACAGCTTCAGTTCTAACATGAACGAGAAATAAATTCCAGAGATGTGGTGAGAATGACAACTCTTGACATCAAGGACACATTCAACAAACTGTGGCATCAAGGGCCTCAAGTAAAACTAGAGTCAATGGAAATCAGGGGAAACTCTCTGCTGGTTGAAGTCATACCTGGCACACAGGAAGGTGATTGTGATTACTGGAAGCCAGTCATCTTAACTCTAGAACATCCTTGCAGGGCCCAACCATCTTCAGTTACTTCATCCATCCCTCCATCATAAAGTAAAAGTGGGGATATTTGCCACTGAGTTCACAATGTTTAACACCATTCACTACTCTTCGTATACTGAAGCAGTCCACGCCCAAATTCAGCAAGACCTGAACACGATACAGCTTTCAGCTTACGAGTGTCACGTAACATTCACATCAGACGATGACCATCTCCAACAACAGAGAATCTAATGATCGCCCCTTAACATTCAATCACATTACTGTTGTTGAATGGCCCATTATCCCAACATCCTGGGGTTGCGATCAACCAGAAACTGGACTGGAGTCATCATATAAATACAGTAGTTACAAGAGCATGTCAAAAGCTAGGAATACTGCAGTGAGTAACTCACCACCTGACCTCCCTTGGGCCTGTCCATCATCTACAAATCAGGAATGCGATGGAATACACCACACTTGCCTGGATGAGTTCTACACCAACAATACTCAAGAAGTTTGAAACCATCCAAGACAAAGCAGCTCATTTGATTGGCACCACACCCACAAACATTTATTCTCTCTAACATGAACGCTCACTACAATCAGTGTGTACCATCAAAAGGTGCACTGTATGCAACTCGCTTCGGCACTTCAGACAACACCTTCGAAACCCATGACCAGTAAAAGCACAAGGCCAGTAGATGCATGAGAACACCACCACTTGCAAATGTTCCTCTTAGCCACTCACCATCCTGACTTGGAAATATATCATTGTTCCTTCATGGTCACTGAATTGAAATCCTGGAATTCTCTCCACCATAGCATTGTCAGTAAACCTTCGTCTAATGGACTGCAGTGGCACAAGAACCCAGCTCACCAGTATATTCTCAAGAGCAACTAGGGTTGGGCAATACATGCTGGCCCAACTGGTGAAACCCAAATTCCATGAATTTTTTTTTTGAAAACTGTATTAACTGAACCTGTATTTCCTTGAGTTGAGAAGGTTGAAAGGTGAACTAAATGATATGTTTGAAATAGAGAGCAGTCAATAGAACAAACACAGAAATGCTGTTGCCTTTGATGGGGAACAATCTTAAAATTAGAATTAGGCCATTTTGGAAAGAAATCAAGCAACATATTGTTCATAAATGTGGTACATGAAATCTGGACTGTGTCCCATAAAAGTTTTGGGCTGCTGAGTTGACAGTTACAAGAGTGATTTTGATAGATTATTTTTAAAACTTAAGAGAAGTAGATCTAAAGTGATATGTATCAAAGGAGGTAAGTGGAGTTGAGCTACAGATCAGCTATGATCTAATTTAAGGATGAAAAGCAGGATTGGGTGGCTAGCAGATTTTCAGTTGGCAAAACAGGACATAAAACTTACAACATGGAAGGAGGCCATTCAGCCTTTGTTTCTTTAATGAATCCATGGGAGTAAATGGCTGATTCCTGATTTCATTTTTAGTCTTCTAGCTCTGGAATACATCCTCTGCACTTGGGTCTCTTAAAATTAACCTAGTACCAGAGATGCAGTCATGATCAGCACAATACAACTTCAGTGAATTGCATTCAAATCATTTCACTGTATAGTTCAACATCCTTTCGGCTTTTCCAGTTTTGGTTTCCGTTGGTTAGACATGGAAGTTGGAATTTTAAAGCCCTTCCTTGCTGCAATCCTGTCACTGCTCCAATCAAGTCTGTGTCAACCTGTAAATACTTCCAAGATACACCAGTGACAGTCAGTAAGAGTGGGAGGGATTCAGGGTCAGCCATGCTATGGTAAAAAACTGCAGCCTCTATCATCACCATCAATACCTCAAGGCTACAGCAGGTGCATAGTGTGTATATTGCCAGGGCACCTCTGACTCAGTCAGAGGGTCAGTGTGGATCAGATTGGGTGTCACAGCACGCAGTTCGAGCCCTGTTCTGAAATGCCTTCTTATCCTCCCTGTAGAGGAGACTGTGGATGTTTATTGTCCTGCCACCAATTGAGGCCTTCAATTAGCTAATTAATACCCATTTAAGGGCCTTGACCCACTATCACTGGTATTTATTTACCCAGGACTAGTGGGGATGGGTTCAGGACATGCCTCCTTGCCCGACTGGAGTTTTAAGATTGCACCACTCTTCAGTCAGACCTACCTCCAAGGCAGAGAATTGAAAATGTAGCCTGGTAATATAAACCTCTGGGCCAGTCCATTTAGGGAGTGGAAAATTACAGTGGAAACACGGGGCTCCCCTTCTTTCCCAAGAAGAAATGCTTGCAACCAGCCAGCCAACATCCAGCGCAGGGACACAATGCACTGCAAATGGCCTAAACCCAATCTGAGAGGCACCTCTGCCCCTCACAGGGAATAAATCCCAGTCTCGGGCACTACCAACCAATATGACTCCCCAGCAGCAGCAGCAATACCACAGATCCGCAAGGCCACAGGTCCCAGATCCAGGCAAATCTGGGGAGGTGGGGTCTTTGCGCTGGATAGTCTTTTGGAAACTCAGGGAGGGGTTTGACAGGTGTGGAGGAGTGAGTTTTAAAGAGACTTCAGGCGAAGGAGAAGGAAGCAGTTGTTATCCTCTCAGGGGGTATTTCCAATAAGAAAACAACATCCTCCAGTGATAGCAGGTCACCCTTCCTTCGTACTACTTTAAGCAGTTTTTACAAAATATTGAAAATCCCACCCAACCTGGTGACACACAACAGCCATTTTATAGCATAAGAAGCTTAAAAAATCTGCTCAATTGTACCTTCATTAATGAATGACATACGGAGGGTGGGCTGCCAATTCCGGAAGCCAGCAAAAAAGGCCAGGTGGGAAGATGGTGGGCTAGCCACCCTCTCTATATTACGTGACCTCTCCCCAACACCAATGGGCAAGTAATAGCCAGCTCAGAATTTTACTTGAAAGGGTTGCTTAAAAAAAAAATTTGCAAAATCCAAAGATTTGCTGCGTGCCTTCTGCGTCCTGGCACCCAGGTTCCTCCTAACAGAGTAAGAAGGAGAAAGCACTCACACTATCAAGAGTCGATAACCAGAGGAGAAAGATTTAAGACAATTGGCTAAGAATCAAAGGGGAGATGAAGAGATGTTTTTTGGTGCGGCTCATTGTTATGATCTAAAATGCATTTCCTGAAAGGGTGGAAGAAGGAAATTCAATTGTAATTTTCAAAAGGTACTGCTTGATATATACTCGAAATTGAAAACTATTAGAGGGTGACATGAAAAAGCAGGTAAACAATTCTAATCAGATAATCGTACTAAAAAGAGCTTGAAAAAAAAACACAATGACTCAAATGTTCTCTGTCCCCTTTATTATTCTATGATTCGATTAAATGTTGCAATGACCTCTTTCTCCAACCACTCCAGGCAGCAAAGTATCCCCTTAGTTCACAATTATGTGTGAAGGAAATTCTTCAAACCTGCTGAAGGAAATAGTCCGGGCACTATCAAAGATCTTGGTAAACTTTAGAACCTCTATTCAACCTTCTCTTAATAGTTTCTGCTCAAGTATAAAAATTTCCAAACTCCAGGTATTATTTCCCCCATTTTCTACAGTTTCCCACCAGAGGAATCATCCAAATGAAACACACACATTTGATGCTTTTACTGCTACTTCCGTTATAGCACACCATAAACTGCACTTGCACAATATTACATTCATTTGTACATTCATTTCTTACTGTTATAATATCTGACTCTTTATAAATAAAAAAAGGAAACATTATTTTATAACTGCATCTACCTGCACTTACAATTTTGGGAATCTAACAATGTGGTGAAATAGTTATTCAGAGTTCAATCATCATTTAAATTATTAATAAGGTAGTTGAAGACATAGATAATGAGCAAGCACAGAAGTGCAAAAATATTTAATCTCAGCGAAATCTCAATGGGTTACCTAACTTAAAAGTAACTTCGTAATACTTACTGAGACGAGTTATTGTGACTGAAAGATGAGCTCTTCAGAAAATTGCTTGAAGTCTGTAATTATTAAAAAGCAATATATTAAGCATTTTTGAAACAGCTAATGTGTTGATAAAATTTACAATTTTAAATATGTACAATAAACATCTAAACCAAAGCTTTTTTCACTTATATTGGAACAAATATTTGAAATGAAATGTGCTAGGGCTTTCCTGCATCTGGAAAGAATAAATTGTATGAGGGAAAAAAAAAATCAGCTTAAATTCCAATGCATAATCTCCTATCAGTTTTCACAGCTTATCAATATGTGGTGTCAGTGAAGCGGTCTTCTCTTTTGCAATGACCAAGGTATTTTCTTTTCTTTGTTCATGTTTTAATAATAAAATTTAAAAAACTACCCATTGTATAGATCACTACCTATAATGGTCTTTATAAATGACTTGTATGAGGAAGTGGAAGGGTGGGTTAGTGAGTTTGTCGATGACACCAAGGTTTGGTGTTGTTGTGGACAGCGTGGAGGGCTGCTGTAGGTTGCAACGGGGCATTGACAGGTTGCAGAGCTGGGCAAAGAAGTGGCAGATGGAATTCAACCCGGAAAAGTGTGAAGTGATTCATTTTGGAAGGTCGAATTTGAATGCAGAATACAGAGTTAATGCCAGGGTTCTTGGCAGTGTGGAGGAACAGAGGGATCTTGGGGTCCACATCCATAGATCCCTCAGAGTTGCTACCCAAGTTGATAAGGTTGTTAAGAAGGCGTATGGTGTGTTGGCTTTCATTGGCAGGGGGAATAAGTTTAAGAGCCGCGAGGTTACGCTGCACCTCTATAAAACCCTGGTTAGACCACACTTAGAATATGGTGTTCAGTTCCGGTCATCTCATTATAGGAAGGATATGGAAGCTTTAGAGAGGGTGCAGAGGAGATATACCAGGATGCTGCCTGGACTGGAGGGCAGGTCTTATGAGGAAAGGTTGAGGGAGCTAGGGCTTTTCTCATTAAAGTGAAGAAGGATGTGAGGTGACTTGATAAGGGTGTACAAGATGATGAGGCATAGATAGAGCAGATAGCCCCCAGAGACTTTTTCCCAGGACGGAAATGACTATTATGAGGGGGCATAATTTTAAGGTGATTGAAGGAAGGTATAGGGGAGAGGTCAGAGGTAGAGTGGTGGGTGTGTGTAATGCGCTGCTGACAGTGGTAGTAGAGTCAGATACATTAGGGACATTTAAGCGATTCTTGGATAGGCACATGGAGAATAGTTAAAATGTAGGGTATGCAGGATAGTTTGATCTTAGAGTAGGATAATAGGTCTGCACAACATCGTGGGCTGAAGGGCCTGTACTGTGATGTACTGTTCTATGTTCCATATATAGAAAGATTCAAAATGTGTAGAACTTTGGAGTACATCAATTTTATTTCTTTACTTCTGAAGTATTGAGATTAGACATCTCCAGCCTGTGAACAATGTTATAATAAGGTTATACAAGCGGCTCAGAATGGAGTACATCAATCTTAACAGAGATAGGACTTAGGAACAAGAATGGGCCAGCTGGCCTGATCCACCATTCAATAAGATCTCAACTGATCTGGTGGTTGCCGCAGTTCCACTTTCCCATCTGCATCCTATAATCCTTAACCCCTTGACCACTCAAAATAATCTACTTTTCAGCCCTGAATAAATTTGAAGACACAGCTTCTCCTACTTTATGGGGAAGAGAATTCTACACTATAACTGCCCTCACTGCAAAAAAAAAAGTCTCGTCATCTCTATATTGAAAAGGAGACCTCGTATTTTTAACCTCTATCCTCTAGTTGTTGTTTGCCCCAAAAGAGAAGCCAACCTTCATGCATCCAGTCCCCTGAAGATCTCATATTTAAATCAGACCACTTCTCATTCTTTTCATCTCTGTTAAGTATAGACCTAACCTGTTCCAATCTTTCTTGCACACATCGAACTGCCTCGAAAGTAATCAAACCAATTTCAAATAAGGAGAACTCACTGTAGACAGTACTCCAGATGTGTCTCATCCATGTTCAATGTGGCTGCAGTAAGACTTTCTAATTTCTACATTCCATTTCTCTTGCATTAAATGACATTGTTCTATTTGCTTCCCTGATCCCTTGCTGTATCTGCAAACTAACATTATGTGATCTATCTACCAGGCCACCAGATTCCCCATACCACCAAGTTCTCTCCAAGTAAATAATGTACTGCATTCTACTGTACCTGTCAAAATGGACAAATTCACACATTCGTATATTATACTCCCATCTGCCAAATGTTTTGGCCACTCACTTATTTGCCTATACCCCCTTACAGACACTTCGCCTCCTCCTGACTACTTACTTTCCCACTTATCTTGGTATCACTGGTAAATACAGCAACCATACTTTCAGTCCTTTCAAACAGATCATTGATTTGTCATCCAAGTTATTCTTTTCCTTTGCCAATCTGTTTTTCTCTCCATTTGCTCGTATCTTGACGGAGCACCTTTTGGAGATTCAAGTTTACCATGTCTACAGGGTCTTCTTTAAAAGGTTGAATGCTACTTCAAAAAACTTGAAGAGATAATTTAAACATGACTTTCTTTTCATGAAGCATGTTGGTCCTGCCCAAAGGCATCAAGATTTTCTAAATATCTTGCCAAAGCCTCCCTAAAAACGGATTGTGGCACTGGCCAAACGTTTCCTGCTTTCTGCCTTTCTCAAACAGAGGTATTGATAAGGCAAATTTACAAAATATCCAACAAGAAAATTTTTGAAATTCTATTTTTAAACATACAAACTTCACAGTTTTAACCCACAAAATATCTTTAAACTAACCAATAAAAATTTTGATAATTAGGTGAAAAAATATCAAAGTATCAACAATTTAGGGATTTATGGTTTTTGTTAACCTGACAGAATTCATCTGAACTACAAGTTCTAGGCTAGATTTCTCCTTTCATTTTACTTCACACAGAATGGACATTGTTGAGTTTCAGAACAAATGAATGTAAAGTATACCATGTAGACCATATTTTTCTTGATTTGTTCATCGGTCTAAATGAAATATTTGCAGGGCAATGAAGAAAGAGTGGAGGAGTGAGACTAATTAGATTTCTTTTTCAAAGAGTTGGCACAGCCACAAAGAGTCAAGTGACCATAATCTAAGCTGCAAGGTTCTATGAAGCAAGGTCACATAAGATTAAGAAGCTGGAAAATTAAAGGGGCCAGCTGAGGCACAGACAAAATATGTACACCACAGAATAAATGAGTGGTCAAGGACAGTTATTTGTTTAGAAGTGTGGATGGCCACAAGAATAACATCCTCAGGATGGAGAATTGTCCACCTCAGTTACAGTAATATTTGTTGAAGGAAGACTAGAGGAAATTTAATAGGGATAGGAAGAGATGCAGAGAAATGGGCTAGGTTATATAGAAACTTTAAAAGCTACAGACCTGACAAGAGCAACCAAACTCTGATACAGAATGAGATGTAGTGCCCTCTGACAGACTTCTGGTTTTGAGAGGTGAAGGGAGTTCATCAACGAACTTGACATCAGAAAGAGTATCGATCAAGCTGTTGCAAATGCAGCAATCCTACCTTCGTAAATAACTGTGATACTTTCTGAAGAAAATACACTGATAACAGGAGAGAAATGCTCTATCCAAACTAATCCAGAATAAATTTAGAAAGAATTTTGAGAAAGCAATAAGGAAACATTTAAACCTGATATGTCAGAGAAAGACAGGTAAGTTACTAGATCCACATGAGACTATTTGTTGCATTGAAGGCAGAGGAGGAAGTATGTATGCAAAATCTCAATGAATCAACACTGAAATGGTGATCAGGAAAAGACAGACAACAGGGGATTACAAAAGGCAGGCATTTACAGCAAGATGATACAGGAAAATACCAGAAATATTAGATATAAAAAGACTTTGTGAAGCATGAACTTATTGTACCATTGGTGCCTGACATCAAAAACTAATTCACAGCACAAATGCATTTGTTGGGACTAGGTTTTCTGACATCAACCACTCAATTACCGTCCCAAAACCAAAAACTGGTAGCATTTCCAACCATTTCTGCTTCAAAAATCCGCCCCAATAATAGTTCACTTCTAAAAAATGAAATACTGTGTATGCACAAGCCATTACTTCTTAAGCTTGTAATCTGGCAATGATCTCAGATGTGGAGTGGCATCAGTGAACAGATTTTTAAAAGCATTTTTACAAGTTTATGTCTTGGACACAGATGTAAAATTTAATTACAGAACTAGCAAAGATTCTATTTCCTTCAAAAGTTGGAGCTAACTTTGAGCCATATTCCCAGGATGGTGACTTCGCAAAGCAGACTGTGGTTTATGAGTTCTGAGGAAGGGTCACCGGACCTGAAACGTTAACTCTGTTTTCTCCTTCACAGATACTGCCAGACCTGCTGAGCTTTTCCAGCAACTTTGTTTTTGTTGTTGTTGTGGTTTATGAAAACTGCTCAATTCCCCATGATTTAAAGAGAACAAAAATTTGGATGATTTAATGGCTACAACTTAACACCTTTTCCTGAGAAAAACATTTCAAAGTGCTTCACAGGAGCATTGTCAAATGAAATTTGACATGAACCACCTCAGGGCATATTAAGAAAGGCCAGCAAAAGCTTAGTCAAAGACATAGATGCTAAGGAATATTTCAAGGATACAAAGAGCATTAGAGAGGTTGCAGTAGGTTACAGAAGAAGAGAGGCAAGGCCATGAAATGATTTGAAGGTAATCCTAAGGTGAGTGATCCATTCTGCGAGAATACCACTGAGGCAGCAAAGTTGAAAGTAACCCCAAGTGTGCATCAATGGAAAGTTTTTAAAATGATAACAATCTTGACATTGATTTTACCATTTATTCAGTGATACTCGATGAACAATCTGTTGCTAGGCTAGAACTTTCATGTACACAACACAGTAAAAAGAAGAATCAACTCTTTCTTTTGCAAAATACAAGCCTCATGGCCAAAGTGAACAGGAGATGACTGCATCAATGAGGCACTTTGCAGCATGCACTGATCTTTTCATTTTGGCATACAA